TTGGTAATGACATTGATTGCAATCTCAATTAATCCGTTTACTGCCTCTTGTCTGCTAGATCGTACACTAGCAACGAATTCACATATGTTAAATTTCGAAGACGAAATATGTCGTTCACGTACATCAATGTACATTAGTGACGTGAATAACTGTAATGTTATGAAAAGGGTTAACAGCGATACTGCTACTACTGCAACTATTATTATTAATTATTATTATATTGCTGGCATATTAGACAATAAAACCGGTTTTGTTAATAAAAATCATCTCCATTGTTTCAGTAACTCCATAACATCACAAAGTAAACATAGTATTGAATAAAGTGATTGCAATTTATTAGCTAACAACCATAACGTTTCTTCCTGTACACATAATTTAGAGACATCATTCAGGATGTTTTATTGTATTCATGTTTAGAAAATCACTTCTAACTCACTTGACACTTCAATGTTATACAAAAAATTTATTGACAAACTTAACTCAGAAAGAAGCAGATTTCATTGTGTTGGAACAAGAATATTGTGGTTATTTATAGGGTGCACGCGAAGTGATTCGACAACATCAACATGATTGTCCACAATATAAATAGAATCTAATTTGTGTGAAAAATACTAATAGTAGTAATTCTACCAATGGAGAGAATAATTATTCAGGTGCGTTGTTAGTCGAAAAAGAAATATGTTATCATTATAACTTGTAGCTTAAAGCATTTGGTTCTTCGCTTTTCACCTCGTCGTTTATTGTTGTAACGGTTGGGTTTTCACGTTAACACGAATGCATGAATGAGACGTTATTCTGCATTAAAGAAATATCTACACTAGATTCTCTCCCAGCGTCTATTCTACAAGGCTTCAACTCAAATCAGTTCAAGAACACGTGATTATTTTGATCAGAATATGAATTTATTTCAACAACAAAAACTTAACACAATCAATCAATATGTAAGTAATAATTATAAGTATAGAGTAATATCTGACAAATCATCATCATTCTCACCTATACATCAGTTAATAAAAGATTGGGTGTGAGTAGTTTGGGTTATTGACATAATCTCAATATTTTGTTCTATTTTTTTTGTTTATTCGGTGATCTTGCCAACAATAATTCAATTTCTTTACGAGTATTTGGTACTTCAGTCAAACTACCAAATGCTTGTGTCTGCGTTCAATTTTTGTGCGTGATATGTTCAAAGTAGTCCATATATCAGTCAGTTTTTTGAGGGTTGGCGAGGTTCGTTCTAATCAACATCGTTGCAATGTTAATCTTCCTCCAAAGCATTAAGTTAACAAAGCACCGAAGAAAACAGACTTACCTTCTGTTTATTAAACTTCGCTTTGACTATGTCCTCTATTAAAGAATTAGTGGTTGTGTATTATATATCAATAGCAAACTAGTATTCTTTAGATAGAGCAATGTGCATTTTCTGCGCATATTCAATAATTAGTTCAGTAATATCACACTGATGATTTGATGATTAGTCGGCGTTAATGCATATTTGCAGTCTCGGTATTAACTTATAATTCATGCGGAAACCGACTTAATTTACTCAGTGTACGAATTCTGCATATCGTCTCGATGAACAGATTTTAAGGAAGTGTGTGCTCGTGATTGTGTTTATGAAGATAATGAAACCATCGTGACTAAATCAACCAGCTGAGCACGTACAACACCATGTGGTGGACCACCCAATATATTATTTCAAAATATTAACAAGGTTATCAGATATCAATGAGTTCATATTGAAATATATCAGTTAAATGCGATAATTACAATAAAAATATAAGAACGTTACTTAATGCAGCTACTTGTGCGTGTTCGATTTGATCTGGTGGTCTTTTACCACAATTTTTGTTTCGTTTAATATTCCATTTATCATGATAATCCGAAGGTCAGTATGTGTATGTGGCTGCAGTCTATAAAGTAGATAACATACATATTAATTATTATGAATAATATCCACTAAGCAGATGAGAATAACAATGGTACGTATAAAGTGTATTTGATAATGTATAGCGGCGAGGGCCGTGCTAGTCTACAATGAACGGAAAGTGAAAACAGCGTGTGTGTATATATAGAGCGCCTGTAATAATAATGGTCACACACATAAACAAAAAGTACAACAATCTCATAGTGAATGTACAAGCTGTGAAATTTAACCAAAATAAATACAGATAGTATCAAAAACTGTTTACTCATCATCATCATCGTCATCCAAATCATTATCATAATTATCATACTCATTATCCTCATCATTAACCAAATAATCATCATAATCATCATCATTCTCTTCATGCAAAACATCTTCATCATCGTCATCAATAACATCATCTAAATCAAGCTGATCATCATCATGATCATTATCATCATCATCATTTTCCAATTCATCGTCGACAAAATCATCATAATCATCTTCAACATTATCACCATCATCAAAATCGTCATCATTATCATATCCATAAAAATCGTCATCATTAACAAAATCATCATCATCATAATCACGATCATCAAGTCAATCATCATCATCATCATTATCATCGAAGTCATCATCAGCCATATCATCAAGATCATGATCATGATCATGATTATCATTAACATCATAAACACCATCAACACCATTATTGTCATCATCATCATATTCTAAATCATCATGGTCATAATTATGATAATAATCTTCATGTAATAATCATCATCAAAATCATCTTCTGCATTATCACATCCATCCGAATATTCATCATCAACAGAATCAATATGATCATCCAATAAATCTTCATCATCATCATCATCCAAATGAAGATCATCAGCCAAATCATCATCATCATCAACATTATCCAAATCACAATCAACCCCAAATTGTCATTGTCCAGTTCATCATCTTCAAACACATAATCGTCAGCGAAATCTTCAACAGCATATTCATCTTCAACCAAATCATCATCTTCAATATCATCATCATAATCAACTTCATTCAAATAGTCGGAATCGAAATAATCATCATCATATTCATCATAATCATCTTCATCCAAATCAGAATCTTCATCCTTTTCATCATAATGATCATCCAAATAACCATTATCACCTTAAACACCATCAACATAATCATGTACAACCGAGTCATCGTCATCCAAATCATCAACCAATCATCATCAACATCATCATCGAAATCATCAGCGTTCTCATCGAAACAAACATCATCATCATTATCATCTGCATAATCATCCAAATCATCATCATCATCGTCATCAAAATATTCATATCTAAGTCATCACCATCATCCAAATAATCTTCGTCTTCCTAATTATCATCATGGTCATTATCACCATCATCAACATTATCAACTTCATCATCATCTTCATTCGTATGAAATCATCATCATCCCCATCATCATGAAAATCCTTCTAATCATCATAATCTTCATACTCCATGTCATGATCATGATCATCCAAATCATCATCATCCACATTATCATCAACAATATCATCTTTATCATCATCTTCATTCTTACGAAATCATCATCATCCCCATCATCATGCTAATCTTCTTAATCATCATATTCATCATAATCAATGTCATGATCATGATCATCGAAATCATAATCGTCATCATCATCGTCATCGACATATTCATCGTCAATGTCATCATATTATTCTTCGTCCAAATAATCGTCAAATTTCAAGTCATCATTATCATCCTTATCATCATGTGAATCTTTCAATCATCATAACCATTATACTCCATATAATCATCGTCATCATCTAAGTCATCATCAAACAAATAATCTTCATCTTCCTTATCATCATCATTATGAGCATCATAACCATCATCATCATCGTCTAGATTATCTTCGTTCTTACGAAATCATCATCATGATCTCCATCATCATGCTTATTTTCTTAATCATCATAATCATTTTTCACAAAGTCATGATCATGATCATCGAAATCATCACCGTCATCACCAACATTATCGAAATTATCATAATCACCAAAATCATCATCACTCAAATAATCACCATCATCATCATCATCATCATCATCGAAATATTCATCATCCATGTGCCATAATCATTATCTTCATCATTCAAATCACAATCATCACCCGAATCATCATCATTATCGTCGAAATCATCAACAAAATTATCAGCGTCATCATTCATTCGTTATAATCATCCGCATCATCAAGCAAAACATCATCATTAACATCAATATTCTGGTCATCATCATCATCATTCAAATAAACATCGTCATTATCACCATAATCATCTTATCCACAATCATCATCATCCAAATCATCATCATCATCGTCGTCGAATTATTCATCATCCATGTCATGATAGTGATCTGCATCTAGATAATCGTCAAATTCCAAGTCATCATCATCATCATTCCCATCATCATGCAAATCTGCTTATTCATCATAACCATTAAACTACATCTATTCATCATCATCATCATCATTCAAATAAACATAGTCATTATCATCCTCATCATCATCATCGTCATCTTCATCATCATCTTCGTCATTCAAATAATTTTCATCTTACTAATCATCATCATTATGATTATCATCAAAATCATCAACATCATCATCGTCTTCTTCATTCTTACGTAATCAGCATCCTCATACCCATCGTCATGCAATATTTCTTAATCTTCATATTCATCATACACTATGTCATGATCATAATCATCCAAATCATCATCAGCATCATCATCATCATTGTCATCGCAATCTTCATCATCCATGTAATCATAGTCATTTTCATCCAAATAATCGTCAACTTCCATGTCATCATCATCATCATCAAAATGATGATCATCAACAACATCGTCCAAATCAATATCATCGTCATCATACTCATCATCCTCATCATTACCCAAATCATCATCATCACCAATCTCTTCATGCAATACATCTTCATCATCAACATCAAAAACATAATCGAAATCAAGATGACCATTTTCATCATCATCGTCATCAATATCATTATCATCATCAAAATCTCAATGATCATCGACAACACCATCATCGTCATGATCTTCATACAAATTATCTTCTTCGTCTTCATCATGTCTATTATCATGATCTTCATAATCATCATCATCATCCAGATAATATTCTTCTTCCAAATCATCTTCATCATAATCATCTTCTTTTGAAATATCATCATCCAAATTACGATCATGATTTTCATCATCATGCAAATCATCATCATCGTCATCCAAATCATCGTCATCATCATCATCATCATCATCGTTATTATCATCAAAATCATCTTCATCCAAATTATCATCATCCAAATCATCATCGTCATATGCCTCTTTGTTCAAAACATCCTCATTCAAAACTTCTCCGTCATCATCTTCATCATCATCATCATTTTCATCATCGTAAACATCTTCATCATCACCATCATCATCATCATCATCATCATCATCATCATCATCATCATCATCATCATCATCATCATCATCATCATCGTCATCCAGGTCGTCTTCACCACTATAATTGTGACGTAAGTTTTAACCTTTAGACAATGACCTCTGAATGTTCGCATTCATTGGGTTCGTAGTAGTCAATCAGATTATGTGTCGGCAAAAATAGATTGTCCTAATATTTTAGAGCTATACGGTAAATAATTTATTCTCAAAATATCAAGCTATTGTTTCAGACTTCATTTTTCTTTCGCTTCCACAATTGAATAACAAATAACGAAGTTCGTTTGCTAAATTTCAAAATATATGCCAATACTACTACTAGATAGTAGGCAATATTCTATTTTTTGTGAGACTATAATTTATGGACAATATTTGAGTGTCTCCAAAATAACTTTTAGAAGGTCAACCTAGTCACTAAAGTTAACCGAGGGTTAAAGTTAAGATTTAGATGTATCGTCTTTATCACGCACTGACTGCAACTGAAAAACACATAGCGAATTGGATGAATGAATTTCGTGTCAAAATCCAAGACCTCTTACCTTAAATTTCATTGATTCATCCATAAATTATAGTCTCATTCTGATACCATATTGAACTTTCAATGTATTTACTAAATGTATCGTCTTATACAAAACGTGTTGATTTAATACAGTAATAGGTTGGTATAAAGAAGTTTCAAAACAGAAAAACATATTTTCATTTAAGGATTTAGAAAACTAAAGTCAACTAATTACCAGTCAGTGGTAAATTAGTTGAAAACTCTCGATTCTTCAGGATGTCAGTTACGGTTATGTAAAGACCAGTTCAGTCAGTCACTCAGATACAACATAAGGACACGTACATATATGTATTGGCCCAAGTTTTCATACATCATTAGTATAGCAAGATGAAAACCGATTTATATAACCATTGTAGCAGCAGCCCCAGCAGCATTAGATCTCGAAATTCGCAAAGGGGAAAGCAAGATTTTTCGATACAATAATGAATTACTCAGTCCAACCACAGTTGACGGAGAAGATTTGGAAGATGTAAGAACCTTTACGAATTTCGGCAGCATCATCGATGATCACGTTGTATCTAAAGCAGATGTGTAGGAGCGAATCGGAGAAACTGAAGTCAGCATATTTACATATTTGCATTTAAAACTCAAAACACCTTGCAACAAACAATAAGTTCAAAATTTTTATTACAAGTGTCTACTTTGGGATGCGGAAACCTGGAGAACTACGAAAGCCGTCATCCGGAAGATACAAGTGTATATTAACAGTTCGGACCCGTTGGCGGGACAGTATTACCAACAATCTAGTGGAGGAGACAACTAACCAGATTAATTCGGAAGAAGAAATCACGAAAATGCGCTGAAAGTGGATAGGACACACACTGAGGAAAGTATCCAACTGTGTCACAAGAGAAGCCTTCACATGAAACCTTCAATGTCAAACGAAGACAGGAAGAACAAACAACACATTAGGCCGTGAAATGAAGATAAACATGGGAAAAATGAACAAGAATTGGAAAGAAATTGGAAAGGAGGCCAAGGACAGAGTGGGTTGGAGAATGCTTCTCAGCAGTCTATCCTCTGTTGGGAGTAACTGGCTTATGTTCGTAAGAGATATGAAAGAATAATTGAATATAGTGATGATATAAAGGAAGAAAAAATTAGTTCATAGAAACAAAATTATAAAGCAACTTTTTCTGCATGATTTGAGTTAAAACAAATTGTGGTTACATCGACGCCATTGTAATCGATTCTGAGCCATGTCACCCGGAGTCTCTAACCGTTGCTTTCTATAGTCATGCGGACCTACACCAAGTAGTTTGCAAATAACAACATGGTTCAGAGTAGCAGTTCGTGATTTCAAGCACTGATTATATATGAATATTTATAATGGAAATAACATATCATATAGTACTCTGAGTTTTGTACTACTGCATTGACAAATCAATGAATTATGAGATCGTAGCTTAACACGATTCGTGCAGGAGTCGCCGGTAGATATGATAAGTGGTAAGTGTACAGATCTAGCCACTACGAGTGTCAGTTCTTTATGCTGTATAGTCAGTTTCAAGCATATAATAAAATCTATGCTAAAAATTACCCATATTTCAGCCTTGAGGCTCTCTCGACCTACTGTCGGTCCCAAGCACGAGTAAAAAAATTGGGTTACACATATATTTATCGACCCTATCCCGTCAAAAACGAACTCTCTAATAAAACTCTAGAATGCTATTGATGATAAACATGATTTTTTTTATATCTCAACTATCTATACGTAGAACTGAGCATCTGGACATTTACAATGTAGAATATCCAGTAGTACTTCAAACAATGAATTACATTGGAACCTGAAATCTTTATCACAATATTACTACTCACATGTAATAAGTAATAAGGGAAAAGTAGTATAAATTATTATTATGTATAAATTGAATTCATGAGTCAATTAAAGCTGGACAACAATTTAAAAACTAAAGGCATTTGACGACCGTTTCGTCTTAATATGAGACTCTTCAGTAGTTCACATCTACGATTGCGCTCGAGAGTTTCGGACTCAAGACGTCTTGGTGTCACACTTGAATTTCTATATCATATAGATCACTGAGCTGGTCGACATCTAACGGTGTTATTGTGTAACTTTAACTGATCTACAAATCTTTGTTATGATTTTCATTTCATTTCATATATTATACATTACACATATATACTACTTACTTGTTTAATAATTCAATGATTATACGTTGCAGATAAAGATCTTCTATGCTGAAACATGTGAATTGCAATAACCTTTATATTTTCTATTAAAATATATGAATTCATATCAAAGAAATATAATCAACATTGAAACGCTTTCTAAATATGTTTGTTATGTTTTTGTGTGTGCGACTAGGTCTGTGTCTGTGTTTTTGTAGTTTATTGTACAGGTATTTTTATGTTTTATATCTTTTGTTTTTTCTGTCTTTTTTTCTCTTTTCGTGTTTTATCTTTTCTACTACTTAAAAAACGCTGTATAGTTAAGCATGTGATAACATTAAAAAAAAGTGATGATTATGACTGTTAACGTTGATGATGATGATGATGATGATGAAGGTGATAAAGAAGATGGTGATGATAATAACAATGTTACTATCAAAGCTCTTATTACTAAATAACAGTTACATAATAATTATAGGAATATGATTGTGATTGTAATGATTACATAATGCAATTGGTTTAAATACTATGATATTAATCAGGATATTTAATGAATAATTATGACTTCAATGAATATGGTGATAATAGTGATTTTAAATATTAGAAAACATGAAAAAATTATTCATTCATCGCATAACTACATACCTACATAGATGCCAACATTCATAGATGCATACTTAAAGGAACATATCAATTTAACTGTTGTTGTTTCCAGATATATCTTTTCCCATTAATAAAGATTGTGACTTTGATATTATTTGACAGTTATTTTAAGTTCCATATGTTCTTCAATTGTCCTGCGCCTTCGCTTTCTAGTACTATTCAATTTTGGTCATTTTCCTCATGTTTGCCTAAATTTTTCGGCGTAATATGTTCTTTAGTCTCCCTTTTTTCTTTAAGCTTTGAGGATTTCATGTGAACCACACAATGAATTCCTCAATCAATTGCGTAAGACTTTATTGATCTATTGTTTACAGACCAACGAATCTTTGTTCTTATTGTTTACTTTCCGATCTTCTAAAACCTTCTACCTTCAGTCCTCTGACTTTCGATTGATGATACAGACTACTTATATCTGCTGACATCAGTAGTATATTAGTCAAAATTCACTTTACATTGCTCTATGCAGATTATATAAAGAAATACAAAAGATCCTTTTTATAATCTAATTTCAAAATGTTTTCACTAATAGTCATATGCATAATATACATATTTTCAGTAAAATAAATCAAAAGTTGAGAATGAAATGCATCTAAAACTAGATGTTCATGTAAAACTGGTTAATGATGGAAATTCAAGAAAATTTTCTTTTTATTTCGATTGATTTCCTAATGAAGTTGAATGTTTTATAATCAAGAAAGATTTTCTTCTTGTTTTTATTTCATTTTTTTATTTTTTTGTGTTCATTTTTTATTCATGGTTCACTGTTTGTTGATCATATTTAATTGGAATTAATTTACTAGTATCTTCATTTTGGTTTATTTGATGAAAAAACATTGTATATTCGAGTAAACTTTTCATTAGCCATTCCATTTCAAACCTAAACACTTATTATGTTTATACTTTCCATCAGGATATTAAGGCTTTGCTAAACAGTAAATGTTTTTAGCAGATATCTGCTAGTTGAAATAGTCACATCAAATGATATATACATGTTGCGCAATAAATTCATTGGTAAAACATATCGGTATATTCTATTACCATTCATTACGCTGTTGACAAATAGTCTACTGTAAACACTTTCAATTTTGTCAAATGTTGATCACAAGTTGATATGCAACAATATAACTTGGTATTATGTTGAATAAATAATCAATAAAATTGATATATTTACACGTGTTTATTACAAAACGGGTACCTATTCATTGTGTATTACTGAATTTGATATATCTAAGTAGTATGTATTAACAATCAAAAGCGAAATATCTAGCGGCAACAGGTTAGCTAGATTGAAAAGAAGAAAAGGAAAACGGAGAGAATGATTGATGTGTAGATGAAAGGACAATAAAGTTTGAAACGATGGATGGATTTTTGTGCAAATCAATGATTGATTGTATGATTCTGAGATGTTACTAAGAGTTTCTGTTATTTTTCATGGAAATACATTTTAAGATCTGACGAATGAATTTTTACAATGAAAAGCGTCCTAAAATGAAATTTTACTTGTATCTAGTCAATTTTATTGTTCATGTTCAACAATTAGCAGTGAAACTTAGCTTAAAATGGAATATGATAGCAGATATGTAAATATATATATATATATATCAGTGAACTGAATAACTGATTTGCGATGCAAGTAAAGTAACAAGAACAGCAACAATGACAAATACGCGTCAGGTCTTATCTACTTTAACTTATTTTATTGTATTCAC